CCCAGCGGGACTTATCGCGGGGTTGGAGTTCCGCCCCCCGGGGGTCTGGGGGGGGGCGACCTGGAGGGTCGCTCCGAAGTCCACACACCGCACGCCGCTTTCATCCGCCTCATAGAGGAACCCCGCGGCCGGGTCCAGCAGCGTTGCGAAGGGGATGAACTGGTGGAGGCCCCACGCGCTGCCGGCGCGGCGGAAGGTGCACTGGAAGGCCTTACTCCGCGAGAGCAGCGGGTCGCGCATGCAGACAACGGTAAGCTTGAAATGGGTCTGAACGGCGCCAGGGGAGCAGCTCTGCAGGTGGAACGCGAGAAACCGCTCCCCGTCCACCAGGCGCTCCTGTAGGTGGAAGCGCCAGAGCCAGCCGCCGACGTCGAACTCGGGGCTGTAAAGCGAGCCCTCGTTGTGGAACTTGACCAAAAAACTAACCGGCACGCGGTAGCGAAAGCGCGCGCTGGTCTCTGAGAAGACCTCGACCACCTCCAATAACTCCATGGACATCGGTTTTGCTTCTTTTTTTTGTTTTTATTATTGTCGCTCCCGTTGGGCAAGGTACACACAGACGAAAAAAAGGAAAGGGGGTGTGAATAATAAATAAGAACCCGAGCCTGGCGCTATCAATCTGTCACACGAAATCCAGTGACTACCTCTAATCTAACACTGAAATCTAGTAAATAATTAAATGTATTATATTATATGAACGTACAGTTAATCGGATGATCTACCCTATTTTTATTCTTTTATTTCCTTTTTTATCTTGGGAAATTAAAAAACAAGCGAAAGCGCTAAACTAAATTTAAAAAAAAATAATAATAATAAGGAATATGAAGGTCCTCATAGAAATCAAATGGGTGGAGGAAAAAACGTGCGAAGAACCCACGTTGGTAAATACAATTCATTCCAATAATTTATCTGTGGTAATAGAAGAGATAAGGAGCGTGCAGATGGAACTATGAATTCCACAACCAGTCCTTTTTGTCTGGTGCGATATTGAGTCTTCACCGAAAGAACTTCCCCATCACCTAAAAAGGATCTAATAATAAACAAAAGATTTCACCAGTTCAAAAAAAAGAAAAAGGAAAATCTTTCAATAAAATACAATCTGAAACTTGAAGCGACCCGATCAATGAGCATCATCAGGGAAGAGAGCATCGGCGTACTCAGCAATCATCTCCTTCGTCACTTCCAGTCGCTCTAAAAGTTTCATGTACGTCCCTTTCTGCGAATTCACCTCAATCCACTCCTTCAACTCCTCAATACGGTTTTTATAAATGGCGCGCTCCTCGTAATCCACGACGTGCGAAAAGCTGAGAATCATCGACGTCAAATCGGATTCCAGCTCCATTTTCAGCGCATCAATATGTGGCTGCACGCAATCCTCGCGAACGTCGTAGTCCGATATATGCGCACAGATCACGTGGTGGGCATCGTGGTCGAGCAGCAGCTCATCGCAGCGCTCCGCTAGTGAGGAAATCGAGGACGAGGAGGATTCACTCGCCTGTGCGTGTAGAAACTGGTTTGCCTTGGAAAGGACCTCCCGCACGCGCGGCCCGAGTTCCCGCACCCACTTCTCACAGCTCGCCTCGACCGCGGAGGCTCGATGCTCCCTACGCACCGCCGCCCGCAGCCGCTCGTAGGTCCCATAGCAAAGCCCCACCCACGCGCGATTGGCACGCCGCAGGCCCGCCTGCACGTGATCCTCCCCCGCGAGGACATCCGCCTGCTCCGTCAAGACCATGAAATTGCTCTCCATCACCGGCGCGTTATGGCGAAGACGATCGCAGAAGTCGTGGAGGGGGTCGACGGCGTCGAGCTCGAGAAGCACCCCGTGCTGCTTCCCACACCACTGAGTGAGCTGCTCGTGATTTGCCAAGAAATCCTCGATGGCGTCCTCGTTGGCCGCACTCCGGCGGTACCGCTCCCGGCCCACGAGTGAGCGGGCCTGGAGCTGGAGTCGGCAGACGTCGTCGAGGAGGTTGTAGAGCCCGCGGGTCGGGGGCAGCGCGAGGGGCATCCCCACCTCCCGCTCCACCCCTTTCAGCTCCCGGCAGAGCTGCTCCGCCTCGCGAAAAAAAGCCCCCCAGGTGTCCAGCCAGTGCGAGACGAGCCCGAGCTCGACGTGCTTGAACTCCCCGTTCGGGTAGGACAGCACGCGGGTGAGCACCACCTTCCGCGTCGTGAACTCCTGCAGCAGCGAAAGCCACCCCGCCCGGTACCGCGCGCAGGCCGCCGCCGTGATGCCGGGCCGCCCCTCACGCCCTGCAGGGCCCGGCGATATCACAGGCCGGGAAGAGGGGAGGGAAGAGGGGGCCTCCGGGGCCGAGGGGCGCTGCCGCGCTTTGAGGGTTTCGATGAAGCGGCGCAGCTGGGCCTTGCGGTCGTCCGCCGGGGGCTGCGGGTCGGGGCCGTCGCCGGGGGTCAGCCGGGCTGCCAAGTACCGGAGCTCCGCCTGCACCAGCGCGCGGTAGGCCGAGACGCAGGGGCGCGCCTCGGCCTCCAGGCAAAGCGCACGGATCTGCGCACTCGGCATGAGCGCCTTTGTGGGTTCGCGAGGTCGGACCACTTCTACTAGGTCGAATGCAACTTGGACAGGTGCAGAATATCGGTTTTTGTTCTATCGGTGATAGATAAGAGAAAGCTAGATCGACACTTTGGGGGGAGTTTTACCTATTCAGAGAGATGCATATATATTTATAAAGCATAACATTTGACTCGAAGCTTTTCGCGTGCGGCGCACATGCATACTTGATGTTTTCTCTCGCTTTTGCAAAGTACTCAACCCAAATGGTTCACCGATACCCTGCTTTAAAATCCTCTTGATAACAGGTAATAAATAAACTTGACATACAAAAATAAGATCCACATGTCGTCTGAGAGTGCAGTCGACTTCAAAGGTAATTATGTATATATACATATTGATACATATATCTCTATATATATATTATAGTTCACAATCCTCAAATCTGATGCACAATCAAATATATTTTCACTGGTAAAAATGTTCCCTCATTATTATAATTATTGTTTCCTCTCATAGAGCATGCTTTATCCCTTGTTTATCGGTAGAATAACGCTCACTCGGGCGAGCGCGCTACTTCATCTTCTTATCTAAAAAGATATACTCCAACGAGCTCTGCATCGTCGACTGCAGGGAGTTTGGACTGCCTTCCATTAACGTCAACGAGGTCGCCCACACCGCGCCGGCGAACAGGGCGTACCCATACCGCGGGGCCGTTAGTTTTAGCCTCGCGGCGAGCACGCGATAAAGCACGAAGAGCACCCGTGCCATCTTGTACATGATCATCTGCAAATGCACCCCATTCTCCGGATCGCCCCAGAAGAAAAAGCCTATTAAAAAGCCTGCAAGGGTGTTATGCCAGAGGGAGATGCGTCCTGTCAGAGCCTGCAGGGCACCCCGCACCACGGCGAAGAGCACCGCACTGTAGCCCAGGCCCAGGGCGTGGGTTTTGGTCACCTGGAGAATCTTCCCGGGCATCGCGTGGTAGGGCGCTTTGCTCCACACGAGGTTCAACACCAGCGCATGCGGGAAGCGAACCCGCGCGCCGTAGATCACGCCGTTTCGAAAGCCCTTGAGAGTGTTCAAAAGTACATCGAAGTTACCGGATCGGATCATGTGCTCGATAAGTTTGCGTTGGGTGGGCGTGAAGGATACCTTCTTCGCGCCATTGAGGATGTCCCCCATCCTCGAGTCCGGTATGGAAATGGTCGGGGCCATTTCTATGAGCTGGGATGAGGACTAAAGTGTTCCTAATGGGAAAATAAAATTGGTGGGAAAAAAAACGTAATGACTATACACATTGGACTGTTTATTCTTATGGGTATATGTGAGCACGTATGGAATGCAGAGTGTAACCATATCCCTATTTTTCCCCCTTTCAAAACCATAAGTATCGTCGTCTCCGCAAGCTATTCCTCACACGTCGATCTTCCCTGGATGATTTTTTCTCTATGGGTTGAGTTTTTTTGAGATTTTGTTTTTATGATGTTTACTCTTCTTCCACCACATTAACGCACATCCCCTCCCGCGACTATAAGGGAAATATATCGATATATATATATATATATATATATTATATATCCCTAAAGTGGAAGTGTTAAAAGCAATGCGGGTCAGGGCGAGGTGCGGCGAGCTCAGGCGCCGCATTGCTACGTCCCCAGGTCCCTTCCTTTTGGCATCGCGGGCAGCACGGCATCACCCGCCAGGCCTTTACGCCCTCTCCGATAATCCCCGTTTTATACCCGCACTGGTCGCACTGAACGAAAGTTTTGACGGTTTCCCGCCGCTCCGTGCGGTGGTGCTGCTCGATGCAGCTCGTCGGCAGGCTCGTATACCACCGCCCGCAGGGATGGCAATACACCCCCTTCACGCGCTGCTCCGTGATCCCTTCGAGAATCG